ACAGCTTTATGTTAACATATGAGTACGGGTCCATTTTAAACCTCCTGATTTTTAACCAAAAGTGTTATTTTTATTTTGAGTCTATTAATACATGATTTATTTAGAGCGATAATTTCCTTCTTAGACCAGTATAAACAAATCCACTTTAAAGGATATTAAAACCCTCATGGTTTTTTTGCATATATCTGCAGCTAGCAAGCAGTAAATATATGCAGAAACATTAAACAAAAAAAAAACTTTTAAAAAGGGTTTAAACTTACCTGTGTCTTCACCACGTGCTCCCGTCTGAAGAGTCTCGGGCGGCTGCAAAGGATCTTGGGGCGGCCGCATGCGCACTGCAGATGTTCGGCCGGGAGATGAGGAGAGACACAAGGTAAGTCTATGGAGCAGCGTGCACCCGCACAGACTCCATGGGACATTAGAGGACAGCCAGGACATGCGGTCAGGGAGGCAGGTGAGTAGGGCTTCAACAACTAATCGACATAATCGATTATAATCTATTATTGAAAAAGTTGTCAACTTTTTCAATCATCGATTAATCGGCTTCCGATTGGTTGGCCCTGTTCACAGCTCCACACACGCTGCGCGCCAAAAACCTCCTCCCCACCTCACGCTCGCTGCTGCCAGACCCGCCTGGCCGTATCCACGATCCACACGCCGCACGTCCTCCCTGCCCTCACGCTCACTGCCCGCCCAAATCCACGATCGGCACAGGAACAAGTTGCTGGAAGACTGCTCAGGTAAGCCTGCACTTTCCCACACATGGTGCTCTATAATGTATTGCTGCGATAGTGGGATTTGTATTCCTCTATAGCTGATGGTACATTGTGCTGTATATTATACCATCAGCTATAGAGGACTACAAATCCCAGCAATACATTACACACTGTATGTATAATGTATTGCTAGGATTTGTTGTATTCCTATATAGCTGGTGGTATTCTGCCTTGGACTATATAGAGGATTACAAATCAAGGAATAGTACATTATACAGCGCAATGCAGAATACCACCAGCTATAGAGGACAATTAGAGGATAATTTTACACTTTTCATTTCACTATATTGCACACCACACTTTAAAAAAAAAATGTTTTACTTCCACCGCTCCATTCTTGCTTCTGTGATGGACTGCAATCTAAATACAAACTAGAAGTCCATCACTGGAGCCTTTTAAAAAAAATGTATTTTATTTTTTATCTGATTAACCGATTAATCGAACATAATAATAGGCTAACTAATCGATTTTGAAAATAATCGTTAGCTGCAGCTCTACAGGTGAGGCTGGCGAGGCAGAGCCTCACCTAGTATTATGGAAGAAAAAGCTGTCAGCTTCAAGTTTGAAGCTGACAGCTTTTTCTCCATTCAGAGTAGATTTTTACAGGTTACACAGCAGAGAAAGCCTCCCCGCTGTGTAACCTGTCATGGATGGAGCGCTGCCTGTTAATTACAGGCAGCGCTGCATCCAGCTTTTTTCACGTAGTTAGGTTACACAGCAGCGGGCTTCCACTTTAATTAGGGTCTTTGCACAAAACATAAGCCCTTTACATCCCTTATTAAATCTGAACTTCAAGCAAATATAAAACAAAAAAATAATGCAGCTCATTATGTATTAATAAACCATTCAACTTATTTTTACTGCATCTAGTGAAATTGCCTGAATTTGACTTGGTATGAGCATCTTGCAAACCTTTAAACAGCAGAGCTCAGACTGGAAAAGGAATCCAGCATAGTGGGGTGAAAGACAATGAATATGCTGATAGGAGGAGTGAGCAGAATGAGCAGAAGTTTACCCAATTAGCCTACAGCTTCTCCTTCACTGCTCAACCAGAAGGCTAGGGTGATGTCGGCAGTGAATTTCTTAATTGTAACAGAGAAATAGATTTTATCCTCCAGGGCTGTATAAATCTCAGGTCTGGATAGACCGAAATAGAAATCCTTTGGCAGATAAACCAACTCCCTTCTATGTATTTCATGTATTTAGCTGTTTGCTTGGAGTTTAGCTTTAATTTAGCTGGACTTATCTGCACTCCTTCATGATCCCTGCCATTCTGTGATTATTTGTGAAGCTTTCTTTATGACTGACCACAGCTGGAACTCTCTTCCCTTCATCTAAAGAGCTGCCCTCTCATCATTTTCTTTGTGAATAAAATAAAAAGACATCTGCTAAGAGCTATTAAACACACTCAGAGATGTTAATAGGAGCTCCTCTTTTGCATCTCTGTCTACATTTATAAAATATCTATTTTGGTCAGTGTTTTTTCCAACTTTTACCAGAAATATGTTGTTGCTGTTGTTGCTGCTGAGCTTGCTGTGTTGTTCACATGAATAAACATGAAATAATGAGATTACTAGCTATACATTGTTGATACATATATCACAAACGACCCTATTTTATAGCAAAGGAACATTATAAACATATCAAAGAGCCGATGTGAACTCGCTGACACTGATTTGTCTATCCTGTATGAGGTCTATTTTGGTAGTAGTGGGGTGTTTCGGAAGACAAGTAATTAAATGTTCTCAGCACCATATGAACTGTACATACTGTATATATGTAGAGATGATAAAACTTTGAATGGAGTGGGTATAACTGGATCCCTGATAGACCTACACCAATTAAAAGCAAATTCCACCTTTTAGCAAAAATAATAATACATGCACTCTTCTTCATAAAAGAAAAAATGTGCACTTATTTCTTTTTTGCTTTGGATCCAGTAAAGCATTGCAACTGTGATCAGTGGATGACAGTTGAAATGACCTTGCTCCTTTAGACTCTTCTTCCTGATGTACAGACATTTACAGGGTTATTCACTAAAGGGAGAAGGCGTGAGAAGTGAACAATCTAGGCCAACATAGCTGAACTGGAAAGTGAGCTGAATTGGATAATTTTTCCAAATCAGCTATTTTGGCCTAGATTATTCACTTCTCCTGCCTGTTCCAAACTCTTCACCCTTTTGTGAATGACCCTGTTAGTAATGTGGACGGGAGGGAGAATGAATGTACTACAAGTGGGGTGATGTCAACGCGCTTGTATTCCATTGAGAACAATAGGTGCCTGTGCCGTGGTGTCAAAGGTTCTGAAAATGGATGATGTGGCTGTTTGGAGTGGAGCCATGCACAGACGCACTTAATTGAAAAAATACCAGCCTGCGGAGAGAACCACCCCATGATTCAGGTAAATGGGCGGGGGGTTTACCACGTGACCATGATACATAGAGAACACACACGCACCGCTCCTCCACGGCACAGGAAAGGAATGAGAAAGGTGCATGCCTCTGGGAGCACATCCTTGTTCCAATATGAGCCCATACAAACAGACGAAAAGCTGGCCACACACTGGAATAGTTTATTGAAGCTTGTACCACATCACTGGTGTCTAGACCATGGTCTGCCCGCTGTTACATATTTCTCCCAATCATGGGCTTAGTCATAGAGATCATAGTCAGAAAAGTAAACCTAGCCTTTAAATCTTGCCCTATCCCCAGAATGGTTGTGATAGGCTGTGCTTGAAGATTATAGTGACTCTGTCACTAAAATAGAAGTTCCAAATAAAGGTTTTCCCTGCAAAGAAAATAAATACTCCTTTCTCCCACCACCCACGCTGCTGATCTCGGTTGTACTGAAGAGAAACCACTGCCTGTTCAGAAGCCGACATGCCAATTTCTTGGTTCCTTGTTGCACTCAGTGATTTGATTCACCACCCCCTACATCACTACTGTGTCCTACAGTCACATAAGGGTTGACAGGAGGAACCACAGAGTGCAGCTGAAGATCAGAAATCAAACACTTTTCTGACACTTATAAAGGCTGTTCAGAGTCTCTGCCACAGAAGTATTGAAGCAAGAGAAATTCAGGCATCTAGCATTTTCAGAACAAGACCAGCAATGGCAAGCTGCACATTTCTCTCCTGACAAGTGGCTGCTAAAATAAAACTTCCAAAAAAGGGATTTCCTGCAAAGAAAAACCTTTTCCGATGGTAGTGCCTCTGCTGTATGAAAGATAAATCACTGCCTAAATTATGCCTTCAGAATCCGACACTTTGGGAGTGTTAAATTTCTGATCCCGCGCTGTACTCTGTGGTTCCTCCTTCCAGCCCTTACATCACTACGGAACACAGAAGTGATGAAAGGGTGGCAGACTGAACCACTGAGTAAAGCGGGGGACCAGGAGGTCAGCAGGAGGAACCATTGAGAAATACGGGGAATCCAGGCGATCTACACTACACTCTACACAGCAGAGTTTAGGGGACAATTTATCTTGGAGTGGAGAGGAGTCCAGCAGCACAAACAGCAGTACAGGTAAGTATTTACAGTCTTCTTTTAGAGTTATACCTTCCCTGGGGGAACTTTAGTAGGGCAATAGAATCACTCTAAAGTAAATATGTACTTATTTAAACCTCAGTATTTGTGGGACATGCACTTAGTTGTACCATGGCCCCCAGTTACCCTTTTCCACTGCTGGAGACCACCTAGATTTTTTGGCAAACTTGGAGATTTGCACAGGCCTTAGCACATGCCTAGTGATTGGCTGGTCAGGCACTGAATGCTAAATTGTGGAAGGTAGAGGGGAATGTCATATGTGCTTCATACTTGGAAACACTGGGTGGGCTGCGGTATGGGTAAAAGCAAGCTACGCATTATTGTGAGAGTAGATTCCGCGCCATGGATTCAGCTTCTCAAATAAATAAATAGTAGCTGCTGTGCTTTAAGTGTATCCAACAAAAAATAAATGAATCCAACAATTAAATATAATTCAACAGTGCGCTGCGCACAAAAATATTAAATAAATAAATGCAAAATATTGTATATGTTCTTCACATCAATCTTATACACCACCTAATATTCCATATCAATATATATATTCCAGCAGAGGGGAACTTAATGAGTGTGGATGGTGGTGGGAGTGTCTTTTTTTTTACACATAGACTTCCACTTTTAATATTGATGTTTACATAATCAAATAAAAGTTTACCCTATCAAACAAAATATATTTTACAAACCTTGTTCTGTCTCCTGGGGCTTTAACTTCATTGTATATATTTTCCTCAGCTTACAGTTTGCTGAAACAATGATTCCATCCAATGATTGAAACACGGCCCCCTTAAATATTCCGCTTGTGAAGTCAACAAGGTCGATGCATAGATTACACCACTGAAAAGAGACAACACTCTGGTTACATATATAGCAAAGTATGGGCACTCATATGTTCAATACGTGCCAATCAGTGGGGCTACTTTAATAAAGCAATAAAAAGGACTGCAGTCCAAGCTGACCAACCAGGTTTCAACTCTTAAGCCAGTGTTAGTTTTCAGAGTTAGTATTTAAATGTTAATAGGTGAACTTAGTAGTAGTTAAAGCCCAACTTCAGGCTCACAGTCCCACCCTCCTTGGAGAATCACCACACACTTCAACATATAAAAAAGAAATCAATATATTTACCTTTTTCTGGTATTGGTTCAGTCCAGTTACATTCCTCTGGCGTTGGGCAAATTCTAATTGCTTCAACATAAAAAAAAAAAAAAAAATCAATATACTTACCTTTTTCCAGACGTCTTTTGTTCAGTCCAGTGACGTTCCTCTCCAGCTGGGCAGATGCTAAATGCTGCAGAGAGCAGCCCCACTTAACATAGCACAGCTCTCTGCAGTATTCTTTTGTAAGTCCAGGGAGAAGGGCAAAGCCATAATGCCCTGGCCTTACAGGAAGTAGGCTGAATGGCACTAGGCATAATTCAGCCCAGAATGGGGGCGTCTATGGGAGACAGCCCTGGAGAGGAGGTGAGTTTAACAGCTGAAGCTGATTACATATTTTAAAGAGCATCTGAGCAAATAATTTATTTTGCCAAAACTGGAAAAAAAAATCTGCTGTGCACTGTGGTTCTATCCACTGGCCTCTACATGGCATATTGTACGGGCCAGCAACCACACCACAAGGCAAACACAGTTAGTCAACACACAGGGAAACGTTGGACGTGAAAACGATTTTGTTTGATATTCTAGCTCAGCAAAAGAGCAAGGATCTGAACAGCCAGGGGGACATTTAAATTTAAATTTAATTGCAGGTTGTTTTTTTTTTAGTTTTAAAACAGTAAGAGAGTCATTTAAAGGGTACATTTTATAAGAAGGTTAAATGTTAGTGTGCAAGTTTTAGGGACTGTGTTGACGTGTCTTGGGCTTGTATCAATGGTGTCAATGTGACATCAGTCTGGGATGCATCTGAGATTATTTATAATTTATTGACAGGTGTATTTCACTTGCAGTTGATCTCCTTCTGACCTGCTTTAAGCTGGTCTTACATTATCATAGGCTTGTGTGGGAATACAAAACTCATTTGAGGTGAACAATAGCCCTCTGACACGGGCCCTATGTTGATATACAGACTGGAGGAACGGACAGGGAGGGGGCGGGTACAGCTGGCTCTGTCTCTAGATAGACAGAACCAGCTGTCAGTCACGCAGCTGGGTGGCTCTCGACAGCATTGTCGGGATCCGTTCAGGCTGCGGTGCTCGTAGTATATCGCGGGCAATATCCTGTGACCCTTAAGAGAACTATGGGGAAAAACACTTACCTCATAGTTCTCTTTTAAGCTCTGTACTGCCATGCAAAAAAGTTTTCAAGAGAAGCCACTCCTGCTACTTCCCATTAACAAGCAAATAGAGGAGCTTACTGGAAACTGGAAACCCCCTTTAATTACTGCTTATCTTACACATTCTACAGCAACTAGCAGCTTGTGTTCTTAGCACAGACTACATGCTACAGGCTACAGACTTCCACTATTAACAGGCATATGTGCAGTTTTAATAAAAAAAATATTTTCCCCTTGGTCTCTGTACATTTCAAATACTCAAGTTCCAAAGAATGTACAGCGTTCCCCTAAAATGTCCCCCTGAACATGGTTTAGTATTTGAAGTGATAACACACTTGAGGTCTAATCTTTCTCATTTAGAAAGATGACTAAATACATGCAAAAAGCTACAAATGGACTTTTAGTTTCAGTTTAATCACAATTCACATTTAGATGACCTATAACAACTGAAAGCAAGCCTGATTTTTGCACATGCAGGGGCCAATCACCCATGCTATCACGTGGACAGAGTCCATAGCTCTGTTTTAAATATTACTTGAGTGAATTCTAGCTTACACAGCATGGCTTCTGCTGCTCCCAGCAGCCACATGGAGTGGTAGAGTAAAGAAAGAAAGCTAACCATTTTCTGCAGGAGTGGAGGATATTTTTATAAACCTGGGCTTTGCCCGTGCCTTTAAAATAGTCATATTTTAAACATACCTGTAGAGTAAATACAATTTGCTGAACAGTAATTTTTTCCTTATGTGCTTTCCCTTGGTGTTGACGTTCATCTGAACAAATTCTGGATCATTCATCACATGAGTTCTTACTAAAGGGGCTAATCACAGCTTAGATAGAGTCACCAAATCAGTGATCTGTCCCCTCTACAGGGTTAGTGCCACAACCCTCTTCTACAGAAGTCAGCTGGCCAATGCCCCAGCATTTGGTTTCCTGACTTGTGCTGGTAAGGAGAAACGTTATGCAAGAACAGATCTGTGTGTCTCATGGTGGAAGAGTCAGCAGTGCTCCAACAGATGTGTTTCCATGATTTATTGTGCATATATCATGTCACAATAGTTAATCTGCCAATGTTTCCAGACCTCGCAGGGTCCCCTTCCACAGGGTGACCAGGTCAAATTGACCATTGTGATAGGATATAGTCACAGTAAATCTTGGGAACACATCTTTTGGAGTACTAGTGACTTATTACTCTTCTACCTTGGTGATAGATGGCGCCATCCGTGATTGTCATTAGAAAGCAGCCCCTAAAACTATCCACGGTCCAAGCACTGTCATAACTGGGCAGCTCCATCCGTAACTTTTTTCTGTGTGTCTCAAGTTCCCCTGTTCACACCAGAGCATTTTGTCATAAGCTGTAAAACGCCTGTCGCTGGAAAAAGTACATGAGCTTCGTTCAGGAAGTTACAGTTTAAATGGCCCAATAGACTTTAATGGAAATGCCTGGAAACGTGCAACACAAGCGTTTTGCACATTTCTGTGTGCGTTTGTTTTTACCTTCATTTGTCTATTAACCACAATGTCTTTCAATCTCCCAGCTAAGACATGCGTCTATATGTGCGCACGTCTAACACTTGGAAAAACCCGCAAGCCGAAATCACGTGCAAAAACGCTGACGCCTAGGTGTGACTGCAGGCTTCAGCTGAGCTCCAGGCAGATAAAAAAGACACAAATAAATACAGCTCAGTATTAATAAACCCATCAAGGAGCATGCTGATACTGATGCATTCATCATACTGCTGCTTCTCCTTTCACTGTCCAATCACAGGCTGTGGGCGTGACAAGACCTGCAAGTGTTACTTAACTGCAGCAGAGAAAAATCATGTCTCCTTCCTGCCAGATTGGACTGTTCTGTGTAAATCTTAGAACAGGCTAGAAAGAAATACACATTAGATGAAACAGCTCCCATACTGTATATGTATTTTATCTGTGTATTTAGCTTTTTGCCTGGAGTTTAGCTTTAACATCCCCAAATTACATATTTATAAATCTCCACTCTTATTCATTGCCTAATTGGATTTTGCATCTTACTTCTTGCAGGGCTCTCACTGACAAACACCAACAATCACGGTTCTCGTAAAAGGCAGAGATGTGGAGACTAATGAGGGTTCAGACCAATTAATCACTTTCTTTCCCAAGCAATTGATCAGGATTTTTTATTCACATTTTGCATGAATGATTTATTTATTCTCTGATGGAAACCGTGTAATTGAACTACACATTCAGATACAATTTAATTTATTGTTCATTAAAGTGTACTTTTGTTTTTTTAAACACTGGTACTGTATGACACCAGACCCAACTAATTTAAATTACATCCAAGCAAAATAGATTTATCCTTTTTTTATTTCAAATTAATAACTACCTCAGCGGTACGGCTTTATGAATAATAATTTTATCAGCATATTTTTTCCATGTACGCTGGAAAAAAAACAGGCTGCCCAGACTGCGTATAAGCATAAAACTAGTTTCTAAAGTTATTTAGAAGACAAATGAATTGCACATAAGTGCTGCAAATTCACCGAAAATGGAATTGTTTTGAAAGCATTTGCTTAATTTGCTGGTCTGAAAAAATTGCCTATCTTGTAAATAGACAATATTCTCTCTTTATGAAAATGCTTTGTTTTCTACAGATCTTTGAACAAATGCAAGGGCCTTTAACCCTTTAGCTGCTGTGGGCTGCCTTCCATTTTGCATCTCATGTCTACGCTTGTTTTCCATTTTTCACCCACACATCCTAAACTGTATCTACAAAGACCAAAAAGAAAGAATGGGTCGTTCTCAGGAGCTCAGTGAATTCAAGCGTGGTACCGTGATAGGTTGCCACCTGTGCAATAAGTCCATCCGTGAAATTTCCTTGCTACTAAATAGTCCACGGTCAGCTGTTAGTGGTATTATAACAAAGTGGAAGCAACTGGGAACAACAGCAACTCAGCCACGAAGTGGTAGGCCACGTAAAATGACAGAGCAGGGTCAGCGCATGCTGAAGCGCACAGTGCGCAGAAGTCGCCAACTGTCTGCAGAGTCAATAGCTACAGACCTCCAAACTTCATGTGGCCTTCAGATTGGCACAACAGCAGTGCGTAGGGAGCTTCATGGAATGGGTTTCCATGGCCGAGCATCTGCATCCAAGCCTTACATCGCCTAGTGCAATGCAAAGCATTGGATACAGTGGTGTAAAGCATGCTGCCACTGGACTCTAGAGAAGTGGAGACGTGTTCTCTGGAGTGACGAATCATGCTTCTCTGTCTGGCAATCCGATGGACGTGTCTGGGTTTGGCGGTTGCCAGGAGAACGGTAGCCATCTTTGTGAAAGCATAGCAAAGGTATAGATGCCTTGATTAGATACTGACTCTGACTTTCATGGGTTAGCCATTTTTGGGAGAACATAGGGAGGATATAAATATCCTAATTGGATTCTGGATATCTCATAGAACAATATGGCAGTCAACTCTGAAAGAACTAAAGATGCAGAGATCCTGATAGCATGGTAGGGTGGCAGCCATATTTGAGGTAGCATAACATAGATACTTGCACCCACTATATATTGGCTCTATTTTGGGGCAGCATGGCAGCCATCTATGTGAGAGCATAACAAAGATATAGCTGTCCTGATTAGATGCTGGCCCTTTTTTAAGTTGCAGGGCAGCCATCTTTGTGACAGCAAAGCAAATATATAGATGCCCTGATTAAATGCTCCCTCTCTTAAACATAAAGAGGGGGGGAGGGGCACGGCAGCCATTTTTGTAAGAGCACAGCAAATATATACATGTCCTGAGTAAATGCTGGCTTCATCATGGGTTGGCATGGCAGCTACCTTTGAGAGAGCAAAGCAAAAATATAGATATCCTTATCAGATGTTAGATCTCTAACAGGGCACAGATTCTACTTGGACATGCCAGCCATCATTACAATGGTACATTACTTCCATTCAAACCCTATTGTAAGAATCAGTAAAAAAAAGTGCACCCCCCCCATCAAAAAAACCCTAACTTTGGTTGCTATACATTTTATATGTGTATTTAATTAAAAGTGTTTTTCAAAATACATATGTTCTATGCACTTAAACGAAATGCTTACCACTTTACGTTTGACAATGGACAAAGGGATTTTCGCATGTAAAGGGGTTGCGGATAATTCCTTATGGACAGTTGATAAATATAATCTTCTTTTAATATTTGCCAAATCGGTTATTCTAGGAGGAAAAAAAATATTACACAGATTATAGCAGACATAATAAATTGCATTTCGATAACATCATGTAAAAGTGTGCATTTCATATCAAATTCAGTGTCAGGTGGAAAAGCTGGGCATTTTAAAGATGACATTTTATATGATAAGTAATGAGATTTTTTTTTTCTTTCTCTCCTAAACTCAAACTTAGGTGAAACAAAGCCTGATATCACAGATCACTTTACATGCTAATTTATTTCTGCACTTTCTACTGTATTTTAAAAGCCCTTCAGTCTGTGAAAGAATTCAATTTGTATGAAGAGAGGAAGCGCCGGCCTTTAATAATCATGGGTGTACCAGTCCTTCATCTTTTATTACCGCAGGAACTATTGGCAATTATTTAAAATGGAAAATGTCCACACTGTTTTTTTTTAACTTAACTTGTGTGTAAACCCCAACAATCAAAATACACATTTGGAAGTGTTTTCATATATATATATATATATAAAATTTAAACACCTGGAAGTCTCCACTACTGCAAGGTTTACTTTAAAAAACACTTTACAGGCACCTCCTACCTCCTTAACATGAAATACCAGCAAAAGAACACTTAAAAGTAAGTTCCACCGATAGGATCATTTCATTGAAATAACCTCACAATAGCATAAACATTTTGAAGAACCTGTTCTGATTTTTTTTCGGCAGCTACAATCCACCGACGTTTTACACTGCCTCACCCAAAATAGCTGCCAAATTGATCCATAAGATTTAAAAGCTCTCCTTCTCATCTGCAATATCAAAAGGCTTGATTCAAAAATCGCTATGTACTTCAATGCTCATTTTCATTTTCTTTCATTTCTAGAGGTACATCCATCTTCCGCACAAACTGATTGGGATGACTGTAATTCACCAAGCAGCATCTAGATAGGATATTTGCATAAAGAGTTGATGTACCAATCTCCTTGAGCAACATCACAAATGATCATTTCAGAATGTAATTTATTTTGCAGAAAATAAAAGTGGAAGGTGAATGAATAAACTTTGCTGTATGTAGAGGAATAATAGATGACTCATCCAGGTAGTAAACTGATGATGGATTACAGTCATGGGTGCAGTTATACTTCCTGCTCCCATAGAACACTGATCTTGTGCCTTCCCTTTACCCCAACCAGCTGTTTATCCTTAGTATCACACTACAAAAACCATAGACACATGAGACTGGAAAAAATAAAAGAGAAAAAGAGAAAGTTTGATCACTGTGCAACTGTACACCGATTACTGATGTTTATTAGAGTGGGGCAAGCAGTTTTACTGCTTGCGGGCTCAATGACTGGTACTCCAGCAGTCAGAGGCCTGCTGACATCATTCATTATGTCTAATGCAGGGCCAATAGCTATGTACTAGACCTGAGAACACCAAGGGACATTCCGCAGCAGGTGGTGGTGCGGGCCACCTGGAGAGTGGGGATCAGGTAAGTCAAAATGCTTTAAAGAATCTCCCTAGACGAAAACGGCAGTTCACTCTTGCAGCGCAGGAGTAGCCCCATTGCAAGGATTTTTTTTTTCTATCCAGAGATATGATTTAAGTTCTAGATGTGCAAAGTACAATATTCCAGGAACAAAAATGTACAAACTTTGCAGAGATGGCAACAATGAGCTACTATCCAGACTACACTGGTTTGTAGAGTACTAGTGTGGAACCCTTCATTATAAACAGGAATATGTTACTAATTAGGCAACTTGATGTATGGGGGGCTGTGTGCTGGCCTGGCAGTTCCTCCACACTAGGCAGTGCGCCTCTCTCTACATCATTACACTTTAAGCACAGAGTGCCCTCATGATACCCACTTAGGGAGCAGGTCCATGACCCTGTACTCACTGCATCACTTTAGCCTTCTGGACACCCAGCATTATTTAACTTGCTAAACTGATGACACCTTCTGGCAGGGTTAAGATATTGCAGGCATAGAGCATGGAAAAGGAAAGAGACTACTGCAGATTAAGCTGCTTTTTCTGTTTTATATTCCTCCTAGGGGCATTGCTTTTTAGGGAAAAAACATTTTAACCAAGCTGGGCTTTTGGTAGGCAGAAGAAGTTTGGGGTCAAGCTCAACTTTTACAGTTGAGATATACATATGACTTCAACTGTTTATATCTCTGGATGCAGTTTTCACTGAAGGCAGCTTTTGCTTATACAATTTTTTCATCCTACGCTCAGTTTGAATTGCCTAGGTTTGTAATAGGTTTACCTTAACAGCTCCTTAATCTAAAACATTACCCTGTTTTTTTAATTAGATCTGAGCTCTAAATAAAATTAAAAGAAATAAAAATACGCAATATTGTATCTGGCTGCAAGTTATAAAATTCTCATTACCTGGTACAAATTCCAGTACACATTCTAAGGTGACAGGGGAATCATTGTCATGCTCCTGAAGTAGATCCCAGGAATATATTTATTGCAGTTGTTACGAGCGATCGTCTGCCACAAGACCTGAATGTTACGTTTCATTATTTTTTTTTCTCCTTCTTCCCAAAGTTACGTTAGGAACAGGCTGAGAACAGTTAATATATTTTTATTATGTCTCCGCTGAAGCATTCATATCTGAGGGTCAGCAATGTGATAGGAAAGTAATAGGACCATGTAGAGAAAAAAATGAGGTAGTCAAAAGGAAAATCAACCTCATTTATAATAATATTCCAGTGATCAGGAGGTGAGTAACGGCACTAGCCGCGGTCATTAGCCGCAATCATTCCGCACGTAACATCTACATTTGGAAAAAGGTTGTGAGTGCGGAATGGCAGCGCTAGTTTATTGCGCAGATCTTTGTATTTTAATCCTGCTGTCTGCGGGAGCCCCGTGCTGAAATTTCCTTCCTTACTAGCACTCAATGTTTATACTAAAGAGGAATTTTGCTAAACACTGCTTTTGTCTAAAACCATTTTTTTTAGAATATTCAATTCATTCTATGAAAAACATTAAAGGGCCAGTCCACCTAGAAGTGTTGTCTTGGATATTCCAACAACATGATCTCCTTGGCATAATTCTCAAAGCTGTTCCTGCCCACCCAGACATTTTAATTAGTTCTGCCTACCTTTGCATATTCCTGCACCTCCCGTTATGTTCTCCATAATAAGGCATAATTACAAAATCGAGCATGAACCCACCATAGTGACTACAATCTGTGTGCAGATATACCAACTCAACTGCAGATTTATCATTAATAAAGGGATTTGACTCCATAAAACTTGAAGATGAACTCCGGGATTAGCAAATATTGTCTGAACACAAATTCAGTTACGTACATACAAAATGTAATGATGCATTCGTGAATAAAGAGCTGCAATAATCTGGGTATTTTACGTCTGCCTACCTTTAAAAGCTGAACTCCAGCATAAACAAATTTTGTCTACAAAGAAGCATGTGCAGTCTTACTTAAATCGTGGTGAGCTTTGTGTATTTCTTCCAGATCTGAGCAGTAATCCAGTGTGAAACTTTGCCTCCGTGCAGGAGCTTTCTATAGTAAAGTCACTGCTGCTCTCTCTCCTTGTGCAGGGTGACTGGTTTTGTCTCCGCCCCTCCTGTTGTTTTCTGTAGACAGCCTGTACTGGGAAGACCTGCTGGGTCCTTCCCATAGCTCCACTCTCTCTGCAGCACAGCGATAATGTTATTGCTTCTTTTGCAAGGTAATATCTAGTTTATTTCGTAATATTTGGTACACACAAAGTGGATTCCTATCCTTAGTGACTACTAAGGAATATATTTAAATTAAGGTTTTTGCACTTGCAGTACAGTTTTAATATTGATTTTGAGTGAACTAACCCTTGAAAGCTGAACCAGAGGCACAAAAGCTTTTATTTAACATTTTTATTTAAAAAATAATCATTGTATTCAGTTTCAGTAAGTGGATGGGAGATCAGCCACTGGAAGTGTGCTGATCTCCCTCTGATCCAGCTGAACACACACGGTCCTGGGTTTGCACGAAGGGCAGTGAAGCCCGGGATAGCAATCAGCGGTAACATGGAGGACACACTATTTGGCAGCCCATGCCTGACAAACAATTGGCAGCCATGATCTTGGTATAGCCACTTTAGAACAGCGCTGTTTATATATGTATATATGTATGTATGCCATACTGAAGTGGTTAAAGCGTATACATAGCCAAAAAGCCAAAAACTCTTGTTTGTTTTGGTTAGGGTAGTAAATGGATAATGTTGAGGCCTTGAGGGGATTCAACAGGAAATGAGAAGCTATCTTTATTGAATGTGGGGAATTCCCTCTTGGACAGTTGGCACCAGGCATGACCCTACTAGAAGATTTTCCTTCTAATATTGCTCTAGTGACAACTGTAAATTTGAGTTTCCCATCACGTTCTATCTTTGTGACAATAATCACCAGGACATATAGAGAGGGAAAATCTCCCCAGCAGGAACACAGGCAGCAATTTAAAACTTGACAGGTTCTAATCTTGGCTATATTTTGGCTATACATATACTTTAAAGATACTAAAAAGTTATAAAGAAAAGTGAATGTGAACCCAGCAAACAGGATTATCAGAGTGCATTGGACAGACTACCAGTACAGCAGGATTTCTGATATTTGAAGCCAATTGACATAAATGTGAAAATTCCAATAACTAAGGATTGACTCAGTACAGCGCAAGCAAGTCGGTAATATAAAAAATGGATTCTATTAAAGTAAAGATAATTTCCAGCTTGGCAGACAGATGTATTTTTTCGAAAATATGATGCACATTTGCAGTTGTGTTGTTTTTTTTTTTGTAGCTACAGATACTTTGTACATTTCGAAAGCACTTAAACAGTCAAATGGAACAATTTTGCAAAAGGTTACTTGTGTCAGCAGACTTGTGTTTACAAGGTAAATGCACTTAGCTAATGTCATATTCCATTTGAAGTTATGTGTTTATAACAATGTTTGAACGTTCCCATTGTCTGCATTTTTATACACAGTCTAGACAAGGTAGTGTGTGATGCCTGGAAACCAAATTCCCATACTCAATAGAAAA